ACATATTTCACGTCACACAGCGATAGATATAAACATGTATTAACACCCTCCATTAACCCATTCCATATCACATAACTGGATAATCCTCTATTACCCCATTCCATGTAATATGGCCAGAAAGTCTTTATTAATACATTCTATGTCACACAGTTTGACAGATCTTTAGATTAACACACTCAATGTCACTTAGCTACACATGTCTCTATTAACACATACTATGTCACACAGTTAGATTTCTGCATCTCACGCAGCTAAACAGTTTTTTTTTATCTATGATCACACTCCTTGTCACACAGCTAAACAGTTTTTGTCTATGATTCCACTCCATGTCACACAGCTTAACAGTTTTTGTCTATGACCACACTCCATGTCACACAACTAAACAGTTTTTTTTATCTATGATCACACTCCTTGTCACACAGCTTAACAGTTTTTGTTTATGATCCCACTCCATGTCACACAGCTTAACAGTTTTTGTTTATGGCCACACTCCATGTCACGGAGCTAAACAGTTTTTTGTCTATGATCACACTCCATGTCACACAGCTAAACAGAAATATAGAATGGCCATCAAATCACATTTTTTACCTTCTGATTTGTGCAAGCTCGAAAGGGCTACATTTTGGTTTTGTTTTATACGCACGTCTTTGTTTCAATACACTCTCAAACCACCCACCCAGTTTTAGTACAACTCCTAGTGAAGAAAACCAATAATTTATGCTTTCAACTAAAGTCTTGTGTTGTTTTCGTCAAATAATCCTGCTTGTTTATAGAGGAAGATTAAGGAAAGAAACACGTACAACACCGTTTGTTAAGTAAACTTTCTATATAATTATTATTAAATAAAAATTGTTTAAAGTTATTTTGTAAACTTTGGCGTATGTGCTATTTTCTGGTCCAGGTCAAAATGTTTTCAGTCAATTTGACGATCTTCACTTTTCTTCTTTTTCCTATTTTGACTGTTAATAAAATATTCTTATCCTGTTACTGCGGACCTAACTTACCTGTCAAACGTTTATACACAAAAATATCGTATTATTGTATTCCGTATCATAAAATATGAAAGAGCATTGTTAACGTACTGTGGGTAAAACAGCCGTAGAAAATACTGTTAGAACATTCCACGTTATTAACATAATACTATTTACTCCAAATCATGCAAGTTAGTGGTATGAACGTAATTATAACATGCTCCACGTTTTTATCAAGGCACTGTTAGCGTATTCTGGGTCATACAACTGGTCAAGACATTTTTATAACATTGGATGTTATTAATAAAACACTTGTAACTAGTGAGAACAATAGTAGCACATGTTATTAGCAAAACACTGTTAAAGAACTCCCAATCATACATTAAATCAGGAGATTATAGGCACATTCCATGTTTTTAGTGAGACATTATTAATGTACTCGGGATATTACAACTAGTTAGTGCACTATTAACACATCCATGTCATATTTTTAACGCACCCCGAGCTATACAGTAACTCAGGACACTATTAATCACACCGTATCTTTAACAAGACACTATTAACGTACATACTCTAGGTTATAGTACTAACCATAACACTAATTCGCCGCTCAACAAAAATACACACATTTCTTCTATTCAAATACACAGTTTTATCAGAGATAAAGTCACTAAACGTGGACGATCTTCTTATATATATCTAAAGAATAAGAGTTTTCCTCTATGTATAACCACCTGATTTCATTAGCTCCATTCAAGACATTGAATTTCGTCATAAAGTTTTATGCGTCTGTACAAACTGCTTCTATTCTATACCATCCTTCCATGCATATTGGGCTCTATTTTTAGACTAGTCGTTGTATAATGGATTTTACTATCTGTTTTTCTCTGCGTATCAAAATGTGAGTTTAAAGTAGTTTTTTATACTTGTTGTTATGATAATCTATTATCTGGTTACGTTACTACATTATTCTCATAATATGGCTTTTAGACAATTTTATTTTGTCCCCTAGTGGCACAGCGGCAGGTCTGCGGTCTTACAACACTAGAATACGGGTTTCGATACCCGTGGTGGGCAGAGCACAGATAGCCCATTGTGTAGCTTTGTGTTTAATTACAAACACACCATTTTTTTTGTTTAAAATAAGTGTGAAACAAATTTAATATTTTATTATATTTTTGACATGACCTCGACACCGAGAAAAATATTTAGTAATCAATGTTTAAACAGTAAATTTACTTTACAGCGCCTTAATCCTAACTTGTTATATATTATAATTATATACAACACGCGTGCATGTGATGTAATAATGGATTAATATATAATATTAATACACAATAATTGGTTGATATTGATAGTGTCATATCAATATAGTCCGTCAACATCATTTTTTACAGTGTTTCGTATCCTGGTCTGTATGTTTGACATCATACTAGTTTCTGTGTTGGGCCCGGCGTGGCCAGGTGGTTAGGGTGCTCGACTCGCGGGTTCGAATCCCCCTCCCACCAAACATGCTTGCCCTTTCATCCGTGGGGGCGTTTTATAAAATGTGCCGGTGCATCCAATTGTTCGTTGGTAAAATAGTAGCCCAAGAGTTGGCGGTGGGTGGTGATGACTAGCTGCCTTACACTACTAAATTAGGGGCTAGCGCAGATAGCCCTCGTGTAGCTTTGCGCAAAATTCAAAAACAAACAGTTTCTGTGTCAGCTGATAAACAAATACTTTAGATATAGATCGGTTCTTTAACGCTCTCTTAAATTAGAATTATGGTGATAAATTGAAATAAATGTTAAAGTTCCCAAGTAGCTACAATGCAAAACATTCTATGCCAGTTAACTTCTGCGTGTTGTAATCTTCTTCATTCTATTGTGGCCTATTTTACTCTCATCATGTGAAAATAAGAATGTTTAAAATTGAAAAAAAAGGTCATGTATCCAAGCAATCCCAGTTTAGCACACGTTTATTAAGTGTTGTTTATTTTCATTTCACTTATTTATTTCGGAAGTATTTGATTCATTCATTTTTCCGGATTTTTGTTGTTGTTTTGTACGTGTGGCCATTTGTGTTTTAAAAATTACTTTTGGGTCCCAAATATAAACAAACTACATTTTAAAGATAAACCTATTAATGAAGTTTGCTTGCATATAGACAGCTTAACTAAAAAGAACTTATATATCATTATTTAATAAAATATTTGTAGCGACATTTTTGGGTGCTGCGTATCCACTAAATAAAATTATTGACGACAGCTCATTTAATTATAGGTGTTAAAATAATAGAATAACCCATACGTCATATTTCCTCAAGTAATTTTTGTATTGGTATAACAGGTTTCCCACACTTTAGCTTATCACGACCTTCTTTTTTGTAGGTCTACATATTGCGACTCTCCAACATCTATATTACCACTATTTTAATGATACATATTAGAATATTAAAATAAAGTTACTTAAGCAGTGAACGAAATTTAAATGCCAATGAGATTTGGGTGGTTTCAGTTTATTGTAGAAATAGAAGATTATTAATATTTTGTAATCTGTTTAAAGAGTCTCGTTTTCTTTTTGGACCAGGTGTGGCCATTGGTTAGCGTGTCCAGATTGTGATTCCGGGGGTTCATGGCTCACGACCCATTTCCCTACAAATGCACTCTGCACTTTTGGGCTGTAGATGCGCTGTAGGAGTGACTGTCAAAATTCCACTATTTAGTTAGGAAGAGTAGCCCAACAGTTGGCGGTGGGTGTTGTTGACTAGCTGTCTTTCCTCTAGCGGCCTAGCCTCTCAGTTCAAAATTAGGGACGGATATGATCAGGTAGCTCTTTACGCAGAAATTCATAAAATAAAGATTTTCATACAAAGCTACACAAAAGCTTTCTGCGCATACCCGTTCCCAGTTTTGAACTGTACCTACTGTAAACTGTTGTCTACCGAATAGTGGGTTTTAATCTAAACTCTTAAACCCGTGACCTCAAAATGTACTGCGCGTTTTGGCGGCAACGAATTATGAACAATGCTTTAACTTCTTGTGCTTCGAATGATACACTCTGTCTTGTAGAAAAATCAGTTATTTCTAGTTATTGCTTACTAACGCAACCGTAAGTGTTCATAGGAAAGTTGGATAGAACTGTTATATAAGTACCTACTACACTTCTGATTTCTATTAGAAGTTTGAAGAATGTTTAAGGAGTTATACAGGAAAGACATTGCTGTTCCATAGACAAAAAAAAAAAAAGAGAGAGAGAGAGAAAAATCTGCTTTGTAAATACTACATGCGACCAGAATATTTAAACAACAACTTCGCGGGATCGAAACCAAAGGCCGAACGTGCTCTCCCTTTTATTTATGGTGGCGTTATAATATCACGGTCAATTCCACTATTCGTTGATATAGAATAGTCTAAGAGTTGGAGGTTAGTTCTGCCGGCCGGTTGGCTTCTCTGTGATTGACAGTTCAAAATTATGGACGACGACAGATAGCCTTAGAAACTTTGTTATAAACAAACAAGCTATACAACTTCAATGATTTTGAAACTGTAGTTTATTTAGAAAATTAATATCAAAGCCTGTTATCCTGCGAGTTATAGAAATTGACACTTATCTAAAATGCAAAAGCTTTAATCGCAAGTTTTTATTTGTAATCTGTTTTCTAGAAACAGACAAAAGTCTATACATTAATGACCTAAGTAAGCATCGACATACAAGCTAGAGCCTAGAAAAATGAGCCATAATTTTAAAGTTCATCCATGATTCAATCAACAAGTTCATCCATGATTCAATTAACAAGTTCACCCATGATTCAATTAACAAGTTCATCCATGATTCAATTAACAAGTACATCCATGATTCAACCAACAAGTTCATCCATGATTCAATCAATAAGTTCATCCACGATTCAATCAACAAGTTCATTCATGCTTCAATTAACAAGTTCATCCATGATTCAATTAACAAGTTCATCCATGATTCAACCAACAAGTTCATCCATGATTCAATCAACAAAGTATCGGCTAGAAAAACTCAAACTTTACACAACTGTTTTAAATTCAAAATATTTATTGAAATCTTGCACATTTTCAGTTATAACAAAATTCAGCTGAATAATAAGTTTATAGAACAGTAGCTAATAACAGGAACGTTTCATTAAGTTAATTCAGAACAATTGATTTGATAAAAAAAGTTGCAACTTAGTTATTTCTCTTTTAGCCCTGTTAATATTTCTACTATTTTGTTTTAGTGTTTTGGAATTGAAATGATTGAACTTTACAAATTTTGTTTTCCATAACACTAAAACACTTATCACTTTTCTTAATTAATAATTTTCTTTACGACCTTACTAGTATGAGCTGTAGCAACAACTATCTCACAGTAGTTGTATCCAACTAAACCCCTCCACACACACATCCATATATGTCATCAATTACATCTTCAATTAGACATTAACAGTAATAATTAACGGTTTTACTGATGGACCTGACACAGAGAACACTATTATTTTACATGTTTAGGTACAAAAATTAAATCTTTATATATCAGATTCACAAGTTTGGAGAAATAGCTCTTGACTTTAAGATGGTTGTCTATCTTTATACAAAACCCATCACGGTTTAAAACAACTCAAATCAACACATGACACATTTTCCAAGATTGCAGTAGAATTTCGAGATTACGAGTTTTTTTTTCTAACACAAATTTTTTAAAACTGAACAAAAATCATTAACATGCCTATATATAGATGTATAAAACTGCCGTTTCAATCCAGTCAAAGGCTAGCTGGTCATTCTTACATTTATCTATTTCATTTAACACGTTCCATTCTTCCTCTTCAGAAAGTTAATTTTCTTAAGTCTGTTTCTATTGTACAACTGCTGAAAGTCCATTCGTTTTCTCAGACTCAGCGAGTCACTGTACTAAAATTCCACACATTCACGGTATTTTTCTTTCAATCACCAATTTCTGACGTACACTCGTTATCATTTTCTTCTTCCGTTGTATTGTCGGAGTCGACACCACTCTTTATCACAAGTTCATTTTCCGATCGCTCAGTGGCCTTGGCGCTCTTCTGATTTAATTTGGCCAATTCTTCGCGACCTTCTTTAGAATGTCTCCACTTCATCCGCCGGTTTTGAAACCATACTTTAACCTATAAAGAGGAAAGGAAAAAATAACCTTCAGTGCTTAAAACATAATGATAATAAAAAATATTACAAAAAATAAGAACACAGTTTTTAATTTATATCTCAAATATACATGTTCCAGAATTTCATTCAAAGACGTAAACAAAAAAAAAGTGATGCGAAAAAATCAACTTGTTCAAAACATTAATAGGAAATATAAAATATCAATGTACAGTTGTATCGAAGATAATTTTAAAATCCTTAACGGTTTGTAAAATAACTTTCTGAAATTAACTGAATATTGCATTCTTCTAAATTAAGTTATCTATCAGGATATTTCGAAACTTGAAAACTGAAAGAAAAGTTTGTCTGCTTTAGAAGGCAGTATATTAAAAATTTCAACTTTTTTGTTTTAACTACAAGGCTAGCACAGATTTAAAACACTAATGAATGGTTATTGTTAGTTGGATTTATCTTAACAGCAAACAATTAATTATACTGGCTGGTGTTATTTTAACAGCAAACTATTAATTTTTTTGGTGGATGTCATTTAATTGGTTAACGTTAGTATAGCTGGTGGTGGTGGGTATTATTTCAGCATGCAAATAACGTTTAGTGTTGATTAGTGTTATTTCAACTGATAATACTGATGGTGCTGCTTACTATACGAACAACCATACAATAGGGGCGGTGAATCATATAGAAAATAATGCAGTTACAAGTCTTCATCTAGTAAAAGCCACGTAAGATTAAATAACGTGGGTTGCGTATTTTTGGATTTTATAGACCAAACATGTTGCGCATTTCCGAGATTTTCGTATGTTCCAGGCGAAAAATGGAAACTGGATCCAGAATAATTTACACTAAAAACAGAAATGTCTAGAAACTTACTTTAACCGATAATCACACTGTATAATAAGACCTGAAGGAAGATGCAACGTTAACTTCGAAGATAATTTAAGAATATGCGTGTTTGAACTAAATATTGCCAAATTCATTTCAATCTTCCTGAGAAAACATTTAAACAATGTCAACGATATTGTTTTTTTACCGTTAATTCAACACTGGTATGGATGTGTTTCTTTATTCAGTTGCCCTAAAATGTATTGAGTATGTGACGAAGGAAGCATGAATTGGTTTATATCCAGATTCTGTTGCTAATTTTGGAAAAACCAGAACCATAGAGAAAGTAGAATACATACACTTCCAAATATTAGCTTAAGGATTTTGTGTGTATTTGTACCGGGCAGGAAAAGTTAACATTCGGTTTATGAGAAAGAAGAGTAAGAAAGGTTAGCATGCGACACGTAATTATTAATATGAACTTCTGAGTGAAAGTAAAGAAGGGTGACATAAGAATATTTCAGCCACACTATATCCGCTATATCCAATACTGACGAGGCCTTTTGCTGAATATAAGAGATATTTAGGCCGCCTGGGATATAACAAATATAATAGTGGTTGAGACGTTGTTTATTTTAGCAAACTGCTTGAACAACAACTGTTACGCTGTGAACTGGACTAAGTTCATGGGGGGTAATTTTTCGTCATTTTTTGTTTATGTCATAACATATCAGAATTAAGGCAAAGGTTTTTTCACTCTATATTATTTATTTAACATCATATATTATTTACTAATATTTTCAAACCCAGATTTTTAACGTTACTAGTTCTCAGACTTATCAAAACCGTGGATGGCATATTTTTTTTGAATTAGAATTAATCTGCTAATTATTCAGAAGGATTGGCTATTCAGCATGAATGACCAAGAAATTTAGCATGCAACTAGAAAAAGAGAGAGAGGAAGAGATAAGATTAACTGACGAAATGTGTAAAAGAGGGGCAGAAAGGGGGTTAAAGTGCAACAAGTGCAAGAAAGGGATAAATTGGGGTTTAGTTTGGAAGATGCAATTTTCTTTTATGGGTGGTGGCTGTGATTATTCAGAGAATTTTGTGGGTAAACCTTCATTTGAAGCAAGTTCATTAACCTCTTTCACTCAGGTGATCCTTTGTCCACTGTAGCGTTAAGAACGTGACGCTATCGTTTATGTTGATTAATGACATTCACCACCCGATGCCAGATGTTGTCATGTGTCTGTGGAGTGGATACTCATCTTACATCTTCGATCCAGCTCTATAATTATAGAATCTATTAATCCTATATATTTTTATTGTTCATTAAAAAAAGGAAGAGATAATGGCATTTTAACTTGTATTTTCTGGTAAAGTATTTCATCATTCCATACGCCAAGCTTGGTACTATGATTATCGTGCCGGACTATAGATCTCCTTGTTCGACAATCGCGTCCCTTATCGGGGAAAAAATACTCTTGCTCCAAACGTTAGGACCGAGGATGCGTTATAAGGGTGACGGTGAAATCCCACTATTCAGTCAGAGAAGAGAAGCCCAAGAGTTGGCGGTGGGTGCTGTTGACTAGCTGCCTTCCATCTAACATATTAGCTCAAAATTAGGAACGGATAGCGCAGATAGCTCTTGAATAAATGCTCAAAAACAAAAAATATAAGCTACATTTTCATACCATCATCGTGCTGACCGCTAGAATGTATGTGTTAATGCTGTTTAATATTCATCTAAACATGTTACCGCTCGAGGTTATGGGTTAAAGCTGTTTAACATTCATCTAAGCGTTTACAATCAAACTGAAAAAGTTATATTTCTTTATAAAAATAAAAAAGGCTATATAACACAAACCACTCAGGAAAGACTATTCTTTCGAGCAACAGATATTGTTTTCGATAAAACAGAATAAGTACATAGGTTACACTTTACAAAATATTATTTCAGTCTGTTGCATTACGATGTGCCCCCTGCTGGTTTATCAGCAAGCTTGAAGACTTATAACACTTAAATTCTATTCCTGAGGTCAGAAAAGTGAGGATGGTCCATTTTGTAGCTTTGCGCTTACACAAACGCAAACGATCAAACAAGCAAGTATAACGATATAAGCAGAATGAAGATCTAATAGGTGCGGACAAAGACAACTCAAGAAAAAGGGATTGACATTTGGAGTAGAAAAAACAAACAAAACTTACACATTATACTTTTAAGTTCTGTTTTCACCATATGAATATTATGTTCCGGAAGTCCAAGAACACAAAAACAAGTGGAATGCTAAAGGCATCCTCGATCTAGATGTACGGCGTTTTCTGTCTGATATTTTATTGCTCTATTGCAACTTACACTAAGAAGGTGCTAGAGTTAGCTCACAGCTTTGCTACAAAGTAGATACTTGCCATTTAACACCATATCTGATGACTTATATTAACTTTATATTCATTTATCTATGTTGTTTACCTGTGCATCTGTTAGGCCTAAAGTAGCAGCGAGCTGTCTTCGATCAGGTTTGGTTATGTACTTTTGAATCACAAAACGCTTTTCCAGACCTTTTCTTTGTAGGTTAGAAAAGACGGCCCGTGACCACGAGCGCTTTCTCTTTCCTGACGATACTTGGCTGTTCAGAGCAAGTGCTTGTGGCGAAGTGTCCAAATTAGAGGTCAGCGTGCTGCCTTGGGAATAGACTGAAAAAACAAAGTCATTGAAAACACATGAATCAAGCATGAAAATCAACTAATGATAATTTTATGGAATAATGTTTGTACATTGAATTCTTCCCTGTAGCACTTTATAAGAAATATGAGTATGAATATACCGAAATTGATTTTGCTTTGTATAAAACATCTGTTAGTTAGTGAAAGCTAGCATGAAAACCAACTAATGTGTTAACAAATAAAAAGTTACAAAAACATTTGAAACTCTCAATTTTCCCAAATCTAATAAAGCAATTCCAAAATTGTCCAAATCTTCAAACAATAATTGTGTTGATACTTCTTTGTCTATATTTTATAGAATCAAGTGACACAACAGTTTTTTCTCCAAAAATATGCTTTTTTTCAGATGCTGCTAGTGGCCCGCCACTACCTAAAAGGACCTAAATAACCAAACAGCAGAGTAAGCAGTTGCTTACTATGAGCCTACGTTTTTTTTAATAGCTTTCTCAGAGTATTTTCTCAGCTGGAAACGTAGTATTTAAAATCATTATATTTGAAAAAAGGTTGTTTTGATGGATAAAGTTTCAATACAAAAAAAATATGAGGACTTGTGGAGAAAGTAAGACCCAAAGAATTGAGGCTGCCTATGGACCAACTGTGGTCTTAATCCGGCCCTGCCTCTTAAATTATTGTATTAAGGGGGAAATAAATGTAAACATTATTGAAAACATTTTTGATGGTCGTTAATTGAAAATTACATGTAAATAAACAAATATATATTTAATACATTAAAAATTACTATAATCGTTTAGTAGACCATACAGAAGTATCATAATTAATGAGTAACAAAAAGTTTGCACCACTGGCTTTCAACCTAGACTAAACGATTAGATCTTGATGTACCTAACTCACAGGCTTTCAAAATGTGAGAAACAAAGCGTTCTACAATTTCACTGACTCTGTGTGATAGTGTTTGGCATACTCTCTCAAACTATGGCCAAATATGTTTATGATAATAATAAATTTCAAGGGCTTCGCTAGACCTTAAGGTCATCACAATCGAATTATTCGGTTATCATTACACATATCTGTGCTGGTAGCAGTAACTGGCAAAAGAAAAATACATAAATTTTCGTGCTGTAAGTTTTCACTTGACATAAACTTGTAAAATGTTGTTATAAAATTTATTTTTAAATACTTTAAAGACAACATAAATACCATTCCTCTAACCTTAATGTATATACTTTTTAAAATTTCATTTTATTGTTGTTATGTGCAAAAGAAGACTCCTGATTAATAAAACTGTTATACGAAAAATAAAACTCTTGGCTAATAAAATTATTTCTATATAAACCTTCACGATAAAAATATTCATGTTCCATAAAAACGAGAATTCTTCGATTTGAGGACAATATCCCCATACCTAAAGTGCATAATATCATAACAGGACATTATTCCTATGGCTAAAAGGTTTATTACTGTTATAAAAGTTTAATATTTATGCGTTGTGTTGTTCTTGTTGTTTTAATAGTAGAAGGCTACAGAAATTACAATTGTTTTATTTCAAGTTTTTTCCCACGAATATCAATTATTTCATTTTTATCACCATGGCATATATATATATATACTTGTAAAAATTATAAGAGTTCTTTATTGTATACTATTATCACCATACGACTAACGTCCTATTATGTACTATAGGCATGAGGAAATATATATATATATATATATATACTTGTAAAATTATAAAAGTTCTTTATTGTGTACTATCCTCACCTACGACTAACGTCCTATCATGTACTATAGGCATGAGGATATTGTTCTGAGGTATACTATTCTCACCATACGACTTATGTCCTATTATGCACTATAGGCATGAAGTTATTGTTCTGAGGTATACTATTATCACCATACGACTAACGTCCTATTATGTACTATAGGCATGAGGATATTGTTCTAAGATATACTATTATCACCATGCGACTAACGTCCTATTATGCACTATAGGCATGAAGATATTGTTCTGAGAATAATAGTATACCCTAGAACAATATCCTCATGCCTATAGTGCATAATAGGACGTTAGTCGTATGGTTATAATAGTATACCTCAGAACAATATCTCATGCCTATAGTGCATAATAGGACGTTAGTCGTATGGTGATAATAGTATACCTCAGAACAATATCCTCATGCCTATAGTACATGATAGGACGTTAGTCGTATGGTGATAATAGTATACACCATACGACTAACGTCCTATTATGCACTATAGGCATGTGAATATTGTTCTAAGATCCAGTGTTCAAGGAAATAATCATCTATGGAATAATGTCTGTACACCGAATTCTTCTGTGTAAAAATTTATTAGAAATTTATTTTGCTTTGTATAAAACATTGAATCTACCGAGTAAAAGAAAAACAGAAACTTAGGTAATTCAGCATGAATTTTAGAAATTGAAAATCACGTGAAATTTAAATTGTATTCTTATGGAGTATTACGTAGAATGTATTAGTGATTCTTAATGGTGTCGGACATCTCAGTAATCTTAATACAAGTATTTATAATGAATCAACATTATGTGTAAAATCTCAAATATTGTATTTAAATAATCGACTTTATTTTACAGAAAAAAAAAAAGATAAAGCGAACTGTCTGAATGCCGCGAAATCGTGCTTTTGTTATCATTACTCTATCTACCCACATGCATCTTTAATGCAACTACTGTTTATGATTTGCATTTGAGTGAAGCAATATTTACATCTCAAGTAATTGTTTCGGTTAACGTTGTTTTTTTTCTGAACGCTTTAACCGTGTGACTTTTATTTACTGTCCCTGCTTTTCTGATTATTACCGTATATTAATTATATCCATCACCAGTCAATCAAGCTTAGAAGTTTTTAAATTCTAATATTTTCGGATTTCTTCTTTTCCTCTCTGTAACCAGCTTTTTAGCACGATACCTCCAGCATCTCTGTGAATACAGTGGTTCTATAACATCATTATTGAAGTCTATGTATCCAGTATTACGCATCTCAGTTTATTTGTGTAACTACTGTGATATAATCAATCTTCTCCTTTTTACCATTCAAGTTTGATTGTTTGTGACTCAATAATAACGAGTTATTTGTTTAGAATATCGAGTTAAAAGTCAGTTTCTTCTCTTAAATTACTCGCCGCTTTCTATGTTTTTCTGTAATAATCGATCACTCGATTCGATGTGCGAACTGCACATATTGACCGTTTTATTCTTCATGTAAATGTCCGACCACACAGTAGGCGCTGAAAGTAAAATCTAGCACATGTGTATGCATCAGCATATGATTACAGGAAGTCTATAAAACCATGGCTGCAGCAATATTTCACTCGTTCATGATGACAATTGGCGGAAGCAATGATTTGTCAGCATTCCAGCAAGTAATGATCATTAGAGCCCTCCATCTCTAAAACTAGTAATACCACAGGTGTCAAACAGGAGTTAACGATAAATATTAAGGATTGTGAGGAGTTCCAGAGGCAAGGCAGTTGAACAACTGATAAATTCATTCAACCTTAATAATATATCTTCCATACCAATTCATACTTTATGCAAGGGAGCTGTACCGAATGTCGTATGGAAATCGATGATAAACACTAACATACAACAGAAAGGTGCGATGCCTGAAGAAATGAAAGTGTACAATCGATAATTGGAGGAACAGTTTGTTGTCGCGAGAATCCAGATGCATCCTATTCTGTACAGATGTGAGGACTACAATATGAGAAAATCTGAGGCATGGAACTCAAGTTGTCTGGTTCGTTTATTAGAGCTAAAATATTGAAGGAGGTTTTCAGTAAAGTAGACAGTATGAGTAGATTATGTTCATTAATGCCACTCTAATTAACAGAAAATTAGGATGTTTACTATTTTGCTATTAAATAAAGCATGTTTTTATTTTATTGAATAAATGGTGCAAATAACATTCAGGCTTTCGAGGACATTAAATAAATGGTGTGATGGGCAATTTCATTTTAATGGATTGCTCGTTTGTTATTTAAAGCAAAGCCATACTGGGCTATCTGCTGCATTCATCATAAGAAATCGAACCTCGGATTTTATCGTTGACGTCCATAAACTTACCGCTGTCCCACCGAGAAACAGTTTTAAAGGTGTTTTGCTCACGTTTTTTTTTTTTCCGTGTTTAGTTTTCAAAGGTGTGATTATGGTTAGGTAGGAGATCCCAAGGTTCAGACATAGCCAGCCCTAATTTTGAGCTAATAACAAGAGGGAACTCAACAAGTCAGCAGCATTAACCGAATATCAGGTGTGACTGTCACTTTTATATTTGAACGACAATTTGCGAGCTCGAACCTTAGACTTTCCGATTGCACAGCCCTGCATGCTAAACAACTATGTCACGTCTGGCTATGGAGGGGGAGAAAATGCGAAGCTAATGAAATACTAACCATTTCTATACTTTAAATGTATAATAACTATAAAATGTAGGAGTCATTATATCTTATAAGTAATAGTTAAGTTATTCTTCTAATTTTCAAGACCTCCAAGCACTTAGAAACAGAAAAATAATCATTCTAATATGCATCACAGGTTAAGGTGGAAGTATGGAACGCCATGTCAGTAATTGAAAGTCAAAATTAAAACATCCATAAGTGGGTCGCTAATAACTTGTGACACTATCTAACAGAGAACAGATATTCCAATTTGGTCGGTGAAATCAAGCATGATCACCTTAGAATGTCTTGGGACAATACGATAATTGTGTGAAACTCTGCTTACATTAAGCGAACTTAATCACGATGCCTACAAGTCTTGGCACTTTACTTTTACTTTGTATCATATTACTTACCCTTCGAAAATCTAACTTGACTTCATGCACTCAAATAATTATGATTGCTTCGGTTTGCTCTAGACATTTTTCATAATTTTTCTTTATAATAATGTTTTTTGTTTAGCATTGGAAATATAAAAACAAAAACTTTTTATTGTGAATAAGATTTACAGAAATCCCGATAAAATAATGTCCTAAGAT